CGATAGCAATAAATAAAGATAGACTAGGGGAGTGGGCAACTTTATGGCAGATGAGGTTTATTGTTGATAAATACAAAGTTATGCACTTTGGGATAAAAAACAAGCAAATGGGTTATACAATAATTGGTATGCCGCTAGGGAAGTCTGAATCGGAGAAGGATTTGGGGGTCATTGTAGACCATAAACTCAATAATAGATTAATAGGTTGGACTTGATGGACATGTGTCTTTATTCAACCTCAAATACTATGTAACTATGTAACTATGTAACCATTAATTAGAATAACTTGGAGCTTGCACCTTTAAAAACAAGCCAATGATATTGAGTTACCCAGGATTGTCTGTGAAGGCTCTCATTCATCCAGGTCATGGTATATCTGTAAAAAATAAGTCAAGGGAGCTGGACTTGATGTATTTTTCTTGAAGGCGTTTCACTGGTCATTCAGCGCCAGTGAACAGCTTCTAGACTCCAATCATGCAAATGCAATCAACACCTGGTTGTGACTAACAGATTGTGTGGATTAGAGCTACTTTCACCATATTTATTCCCAGATAATTTTTTATACAAGTCATTATGAATTGAGAAAGCTGGTTGGATGACCGGTGAAATGTATTGAAGAAAAATACAGCAAGTCCAGTTGCCTTTACTTATTTTTTACAGATTAACCAGGGTTGTTAACGTGTACGTACACTCTAACATTTAACTTCTCTTATTTGGTCCCTTTTGTTCTGTTAAATATACAAATGAAAAAGTATATTATTTTTGTTTGATATGTTAAAAGAAAATATGTTCATTTTGCCAGAAATCTTGTGAGATAGTAACGTCATGTGCTCTTTGCCTGTGCTGATTGTTATCAGATACATTATTCTCTGAGGACTACAAAACTCCATTCATTTATGTTAGGAACAATAGGAGAGAGATGTGGTTCCATGGGTCTGTCTTGTTTCTCTTGTCCTGGTACAGAAGTCGGTATTGTCATCCTAGGTCAGGAAGTGTGTTACTGCCAGAATTGCCAGATGAAAAATGCAACCGCCATATCTAAGGACTAGTAAACAGCAATGTATATATTTTTTTGTTTTGGGGTTTAGATATACAGTATTTAATCATATAACAGGATATATAGATTTTCACTACATGGAACATTTTCTTTAATTGAAAAATAATTACCAGATGTGCTATGGGAAGCATACGCAATGTAGAAGTTTTATCATTTTTTTTATAGGTAACTGGTACAATAATGCTTCTCAATATGTATGAAAAAAGCAGAATAATGTGTACTTATTGGAAATCATTTATAGGATCCCTTCTATTATATTAACAAAAAGCCTATGGCTAGCTCTGACAGCACACATTAGTGGAAGCAGTACTCAGCAAGATTGGTTATATTCATTCTGGAAATTAGCGCACTTCTCAGTAGCTTATCCTGTAATAATTTTTCTTGTAGAAACAGTTCAGCAGGGATAATGATCACTGTATGATGTGGATACCTACTAGAATAATGTACATGCAAATCTGTATATACAATTTCATCAGAAAACATGAAATAGCTATTGTGTAAATCATAATGTTAATCATAAAAAACATGATTGATAGGACTCTGTTAACTTATACTAGATATATCTGTTTGGGTATGGCATATCTGCAGTGTACGTAAATGCATTCATGTTTTCCTATTTCTCTAATGACTTAAAGGGGGTGATTTACTAACCTAAACACACGCACGCACCAGGTGCGTGTGATTTTCACACAGCAAAACGTATTTATCAACCAAAAAGTCTCTGAAAGCATATTTCCACTAATGCCATATATGGAAAAATCATGCACATGATGCATATATAATGCTGCTTCACAGTTTAGACAAAAATGGTAAGCTCATGCATTTACATTCCTGCATTCATCAACGCAAGCAACACAACATAGAGCTAATTTACACAACATCACCTTGCAATTCATTCTTGGCTTTGCACAACACACCTGCTGGGTGTGTACACACTACAAAGTTGTTTAGATTCCACCCATAGATCATGCTGGGAGGGAACACACTACAGAGGTGTATACATATTCGTGGTGTATTTATAAGGTTAGTAAATCAACCCCAAAGTGACACTAAACTCCGGAGTTAAATCTTGAAAATGCATTCAAGTACCCTAACTATTAACAAACATGTATCTTATTTGTGTATTACTGAGCTGTAGATCCTCAAATCATCTGTGAATTCATGCTGAGACTGTCCTTACTTCTGGAGGGTGGCTACTTTTGTTCCCCATGGACCCTGTGTGTGTTGTAAAGTTGCCACTACCACAAGCTCACTCCTGTGATGGACTGCAATCTCATACTAATTTGTATTGAGATTGTAGTCTATCACGGGAGCGAGCTTGGAGTGTTGGCTACTTTTCAACACACACAAGGACCGAGAGGAACAAAAGTAGCCACCCACCAGAAGGAACAACAGTGTCAGCATGAATTCAGAGATGATTTGAGGATGTACAGCCAAGTAACACACAAATAAGATACATTTTTGTTGATAGTTAAGCTACTTGAATGCATTTTTAAGATTTAACTCCTGAGTTTAGTGTCAATTTAATCTGGCCACTCATGTTACAATCCGATTGAGCTATTTCTGCATGTGAATCACTAACAACTATGTAATCTGATGGCTGCAATTTTATCTAAACCTAACCGGGGACACCCCGGTTGGCTGATTTACCTAATCAGCTAACCGGGGACACTGATCTCCAGACAGCAAACTCTCCCGGGCGCTCCGGGAGTCTCCTCCTCCCGGCCGCCCAGGAGAGAAACACTGCTTTTTCTTTTTTCTTATTTATTTTGACAAAAAAAGTCCAAAAAAATAAATAGAAACCAAATACATTGCTTCATGTGTTCCCAAAATGTAAAAAGGTTTATACCTTTCTTTTTTATATAAGGTAATGTTTACACGCAAACACTTTTGTTCTCAATGGACACTATCTTAGTTCAGCTACAGCAATGTCACCTTTTCCTGTGCACTCTTAGGGGTCTATTCACGAAGCAGCCGAAGGATCTAGCTGTTGCTTCGGCCGATCCTTCGGCTAGCTTCGGCCCCAGGACCCCTTCGGTTCAGTAGAACCGAAGGGCTGCTGTACGGGCTATTCACAATAGCCCGTACAGCACCCGAACTTAGCCGAGCCTCTCAGTCGAGCTGAAAGCAGAGCATGTTCGGCCGACCCGAAGCCACGTGAAGCCACCCAATGTACAGCTGATTTCAGCCGATATACAGCTGAAATCAGCTGTACCAGCCTGAAGTGAATAGCCAAACAGCGTTCAGCTCACTTCACTTCAGGTCTGTCTTTCACTCAGCTGCCTACGGCAGCTTAGGGAATAGAACCCTTAGTTGGACTACATACAGTCATGTCAACACACAATATGTTGGAATGTTACGCTGTTGTCGCTCTAGTAAGAGGTGATGTTGCGCCACTGCTGTAGTGCACACAAAATGTATACAGGATGTACACCTTACAGGGAGATAATCATGTACAAACATTGTAATAAATAAAAAAAATCCTGTTTCACTTATGGTGCTCTACTAAGCATTCTCTTGTGAAAGGTCAGTGCCACTTTAACTAAACAATCCATTCAATCTATGTCTATGCAGGTCTGATGACATGTGTGGTCAGATTTGAAATGATATTAAAGTCAAAATGTGTTTAAGCTATTTCAAATGCTGACAAACTCAAACACAGCGCCAGCAAATTTTGGTTCAAAAGTGATAATCAGTGATGTTCGGAATGCAGGGTGATGACGGGGCAGCTCTCACTAGGTTCAGAACAACCTCAGCACTGCGTTTCAACGGTCATGCCTCCTTCCTCAGAACCTTTGGCGTGACCTCTGAAACGCGTAAACCACTCCACTATCAGGGAAGGCAAACAGCCGGTGGACATGCACATTTCGTTCTGACCCTTATATGCCTGTTTTTATTCGACTTTTGTGAGTACCTTTATACCATCTTTTAATCCGCTTATTAAAACGTTTTTATGCGATGGAGGCGCTCTCTGTGTCTTGTCTTGTATTTCAAATGCTGATTAAATCACTTACAATGGATTCTGCTCTGTGTAGTTTAAAAGTTATAGTTTCCTGCACCCCTGATTTCCTGTTTTAGGGCAGCTCCTTTTGCTTTGCAGGGTCCTATGGAGCCACTCTTGTGTGTTCTAGTAAGCTGTGTATGTTTTTTGTGGGCTGGCTGATGAGTGTGCTGGGAACTTTTTGTTTTTGTACTGTGTAAAGCCTTCAATGTGCACCTTGCTTTAAAACTAGTTATGAATTGATGAGTGCTTTTGCCATTTGTTTCAGTTCCACAAACACACAGACACAGTAAGATAAGCCACTCCCCCTCCTACTCCCTGCTCTTACTTCCTCCTTCCTACTCCCTTTTCAAAGCTAGTAGTTGGAGAGCTGCGGCAAACTGTATTGTCCCTTGTGATCTTGTACTTAAACGGAAGTTCAGGGAAGTGGAGCTAAGAGAGTGGGAGTCCACTATTTATAAATGTATATTTGTCGGATCTGGATTCATTACAGAAAAACTGTTTGAGAGTGTAATACTACTTTCAAAGGAAACTGGGAGGATAGAAATATGGGATTGTTTTTTTAGGTGTCAGGCCTGGAGCTGTCACCCTGATCCTTGCTTCAGTAAGCAATGGAGTTAATTTACTAAAGGAGTAGAGAATGTTAACTTAGTAAAGTGAATGTTTACTTTGTTTAATAAGTTAAGTGAAGCTGTGCTCACTGTGGGAAAAAAATCATGTGCAAGGGAAATAAAAAAACTAAAGAAACATAAAGATTTGTGCACATGACTGGATATTTCAAGTCACATCATTTTCCTTCAATCAATACGCTAAGTGAACATTCTTTACTCCTTCAGTAATTTATCCCCAGTTGTCTTCAAATTCACAAATGCTTGGGTTTTGTTAATCAGAATGGTCAGTCCTGATAGTATTATTTACTCAAACATGTGTCTTCTTTCCTAGGTCATCCAAGATTTTTCAATCAGTTGTACGCTGGAATGGATCATTATGCCTTGGCAGCACGGTTTATTACAGAAGCTTTGAACCCAAGTGTGTAAGTTGTATTTTATGTTAACAAGCACATTGAGGTTGATTCACTAAAGGAGTAGAATCTGTTCACTTAGCAAAGTGAATTTTCACTTTGTTTTTCAAATAAAGTAAAGCTACGTTCCCTTCAATTATCCAATCCAATCATATGTGCTGTATAGCAAACTGAAAACATGATTTTTTTGCTAGCATATGATCGAAGTAATTATATCTTTACCTAAATTGTTAAGATCCGTGGACATTCACTGCCAGAGCTGTCACTGTTTACATTGTTATTCCTTTCTTTGAGCCATATGTGGAGTGTGCAATGTGTACACTCCATTTAGGTCCAATTCGCCATGGCATGCAGCGTGCTGCAATAAAATGCAGCATGTTTGCATTTTAGTGCAGTGCACCGCCAATCACACATGCATTGTGGTGTGAATGGGACACATAGAAACAATTGTTTTCTATGTGTCCTTGCAGTGACCTGCGTGGATTCGGTGTGGTACAACGCAGGTCACTGCAGTATGTGTGAACAGGCCCTCTATTTGCTGGTCATTTGGTAAATCATCCTCCAAGAATGTATGTTCACAGTTTATACTTTCAATCCAAACAGACACAAACTTCTTGAAAAGTAATTTGTAGATATAATCATAAAAGAATAAAGAATGTGGTGGCAGTATATTTAGCACCCAAGACAGACAGATATTTTTAACACTTTTTAATATTTTTTCCCTGCTCTATAATGTAAAATAATGTTCAGAAACACAGTCAGTGAAAAATGTAGAATCCTCTCACATTGATGGTCAATAAAAAAGGACCCCCTTACATTGGTATTTCATTTGAAAAGTTGCCCCTTACATTTAAGGTCAGTAGCAGAAGGGCAGCCTTACTACAATGCTCAGTGGGAGGAAGCATGTTCCTTACATTAGAGGTCAATAGAGAAGACCCTTTTGCATTGGTGCTTAGTGGAGAAGGACCCCCTTACATTGGTGGTCAGTATATGTAGTATTCAGTGGTAGTCACTGGAAAAGGTTTCTTCACTGGTGGTCAGTGGGAGGATGTATTGCCATTGGTGGCCACTGGGAAGAATGCCACTCATTGGCACCAGTGATTACTGGTGATTACAAGAGAAGATGTTCTACTGGTTCAATGCCACTGGTTCTGTCAAGTGAATGAAGGAGGTCAATCTACTACTGCTCAAGAAACCATTGCAACCTTTGGAGGAACCCTGAACCCTGATGAAGAAAGGTTTTATTTAACTGCCAAAGCTTTATTCCTAAAGCCTTTGCCAAACCCACGAGGGACTTTGGCATTGATTAAAGACATCACTTCTAATTTCTGCATTCTTTCTTTCTATTTAGCTTTCAAAGATTCGGTCAACATGTAGGGGGTTATATAAATGTAATATAAACAAAAGATATATAACAGAGTTCGAAAAAAAGCAACATATTGTAATTTTCTCAGTGAACATTTATATTAAATGTTTTTATATTATTTTTATGTTTTTATTAGATATCATCAATTTATTTTGTGGGTTTTTTCCTAGATACACTTATGAAGTATCCCCTGTATTTATTCTAATTGAGGAGGCTGTTTTGCGAAAAATGTCAGAATTTCTAGGCTGGAAGACTGCTGATGGAATATTTAGTCCGGGTAAGTTTGCTTTGCTTCGTTTTAGTTTTATTTAAAGTCCAACTCTGATGAAAATGGTATTATTCACTTTTGTTAGAGAAGAAAAAGGGTTAGAGTCTATGTCAGGTTTTTATAGCCATATGTGTCTCTGTTAAGTTATTTCCTTACTTCCAAACAGTACAGATACTGACTGAAATCTTTCCAATGGGGGCCCACTTTTAGTTTAAGAGGGGTTATAACTTTCAAGATTTTTGTCTGTGTATTTTTACTCTTGTACAGGAATTACAGGGATAAGGAGGAAGTAGAAGTCTCTATAATGGGGCCACTGACAGAAATAAAGACCTGACTGAAATTTTAACTCTTCTTCCTTCTTATTTTATCCAAAACGTTAAAAAAAATGAAGAACCAAATCCTGTAAAAAATTTGTCAAATGAATCGATTATACCTAGAAGTAGTTAGTAGGGATAAACTTGAGTTTGGTCCAAACTTGAATTAGCCCAAACCCGTGAGGAAGAGTGCCGTGTCAACCAATGAAATTGACCTAATATGGCCATGTGGCCATATAAGGTCAATATTGTCACCAGCATCCTGCCTCTTTGTTTATATGCAAATGCAGGGTGGGGAGTGCCCTGGCTGCAGCTGATTGGGTCAGCACTGACACCTTCCTTCTGAGTTTGGACGGAACCTGAGCTCATCCCTGGTAGTTAGCCACATTTAAAAATTACTAAACAAGTTTAATTGAAAGTGATTAGCTAATACTAGCTATACCATAAGCTGGAAAAATGATATCCTTCACAGGCATATGTCTGTAGACTTGCTGTCCAATCAATCCCAATAATTCTGAGAATCACACTTCGTTCTGTAAACCATGCTAAGTGGCAGAAATACATACATCCACTGTATAAAGGTATTTTTTTAGGGATTCAACTGTGGGATTCTCTTTTCCCAGAAGCCTCTCTGCAGTCTAGGACAGTGGTAATTATATGTGGGTACTGTTGGTGCTACCTGCCACTAAAAATTGAGACCTGCACAGTGTACAGTGTTTCTGTTACAATATCCATGGCAGACAACACATTCTATATATGTAAGCTTGTAGCCACACAAAAATAAAACACTTTGGAGCATATGTATAAATTTTTTCATCCAGAAGTCACAAAACTTTCAAACATGATTTACTCATTTTTCCAGTTGAATCCAATTTGAAAAAATGTGTTATTCGTGGGTGAAAGTTGTGTGAATCCTGGGTGAAAACATCTATAAATAGACCACTTTTTATATTATGTATATGTAGGCTTATATTTTTCTAGAGCTTGAACAATTGATTTTGTACTAACAAGATTGACATTCTGCTCAGTTAGATTACTTTTTGATGTTATTTATTGTTTTCCCAAAAATCAATTTTTAAATTATTTAATTGTTACACAGTTTCACAAATGTTCCTGTTTAATGAAATGCCTCTACTGAAGTAGTTAAATCTTGTGTAAGTCTCCTGTAGTGTTAGCTGAAAGATCTGTCAATAAAAAATCAAAACATAAAATATATTACACTATCTTACATGTCCATATGTTTGTAATTTTGTTTTATTCCTAACAAAAAACCTATGTGCTTTTAAAAAAAAAAAATTAAATCATTAAGGTTGGGGGAATACAACTCTCATTGTGTTACTTAGAGACTCTGCGGGCCACCAGTATTTGATCTCCTATATGCTAAGCGATGCCTACTTTGAATTGCAAATACTTTAAATAAATGACAATTCAAAAGTACAACTATCTGGCTGCATTAGGATTTTCTTAATTTTCTAAAGTCACGTTATTAGTTAAAAGAAGACCACCTGTGTGTAGGCAATATATAGTATATACACAAAGGTATCTGGTAGGTTCAACTTCTGGTTATTCAGAATTGTGGCATAACCTACAACAGAGGTTCCAAAACATTTTACTTTTTTTTTTTTTTTTTAAAGGGTCAGTTCACTGTCTGTCAGACTGTTAGGGGGTTGGAATGAGGCCAGTAGGAAGCATAAATTCCCTGGAGTTGGAGGCCAGTCGGAGTAAAAAATGCCCCACTATCAGTGGTCAGTGGAAAAAATAAATAACCTGGCATTGGATGACAGTAAGAGTTATAAATGCTGCATCATCAGTGGTCAGTGGGAGCTATAAATTCCTTAGCATCAGAAGGATTAATAAATGCCACAGCATCACTGATCAGTGAAAAGAAAGATGCCACATCGCTGGTAGTCAGAATATAGTGGCACCAAATTTCCCAACTCTCTTTGCAAGAAGTTCCCCTATGGGTCTTCTTGGAACTCCCAAACTTCAACAGGATCCCGATCATCTTCTGTACGTCCAACCACACTAAGGACTTTGATGCTACATAGCCCAAAGCTATTTGACTCGATTAGATATTCTGGTAAATTGGCGTCACCATTTTTACCCCTTCTGCTGATCACTTACAATCCACTAGATTCCTGGTGGATCTAGCAGGGTTTTACACATCTCAATTGCTTTCTCATTTTTTCCAGACTGGTTGACATTTCAGGAACATCATAAGGCTCCTCAACCAGAATTTCACTGATATCTCAAACACAGATTTTGGAGTTCAACCCTGTCAAGGTCTTACCTTGTCCTCATGGTTGCAGCCATTTTTGGACATGTGCAGACTGCAGTCTCTTTTATATCCTCTGATTGCATCATCGCTTGCCTGCTGCCTGGGCATCGCACAGTGATGATGTGGCAACACCTGACTATATCAGTCTGCTCAGGATTCAGGTTCATTGCCCTTGCGTTTGTGCTCCAAGGTGCATCTCTGGCGATCTGAGTTCCTTTGTGTGTTTTTGTGTATGATCCGGTCCGGCTGACGGTTCCTCTGGCTCTCGACCCCGCATTGGCAGACGTACCCGCAGTGGACTTGATTCCGGCTTGGACGACTACCCGCTTTGGACTTGACCCTGGCTTGGACGACTACCTACTTTGGACGTGATCCCGGCTCAGCAGATGTACCCGCATTGGACTTGACCGGCTTGTTCCTGACCTCACTGCTCCCTGATGAATGTTTATTTATGTTCCTTTAAATAAGCAACTTTATTTTACCTGCGTTTCCGTGTGGTCTGGTTTCCTGGCCCCGTGACAAACTCTTACCAAGAACTTGGATTCCTTTATATGAAATCAGTTTTCAAACATTTTTGTCCCCAGGATCTCCTACACTTATATAGCTAAATGCTCATGTATAAAGTCTCAGCATACAAGGTTCTCTTGAGGTGGTTCTGGGTACCTGCTAGGATGGCAAAGGCCATCCTGTCTTATAGTGATAGATGTCTTTTCAGGTTGTGGTCACTGTCCTGATGTCATACATACATGGTAGTCATGTCTGAGATTCATTTCCTTTTGGTCGTGGATTTGTGGCCTGATTGATGCCTTATTTCATGTTACATTACCATGTAATCCCTGGACAGAGCTTTTGTACCACCCATTTCCAGGCCTTACCTCTTCCTGACAAAAACTGGCAATCTCACTATTCATATCTGCCAAGCAGAATTTGGAAGCAGCCCAGAGTCATAATACAAGGGGTTAAGGACTACATTAATTTGCTATTAGAAAAAGAGAAATTGATCAGCATCCTCCAAGACTTATAGGTTAAATTCCTCAAAACCCAGAAACCATTGCTTACCTATGCCGTTCCCTCTCAGAGTCCTACTAGTTTTAGCTATTTGTAATTTCACCTCGACCCTTAGGCCCAGGACTCATGAAGGCCCACTCCATTCTACTTTATTATCCTCTTCCCTCCTTCCTGTCCCCTATTTTCCCTGGAATTCCCCATTCCCCCCTCCTATGTTGTTTCTTTGGGGGGGGGGGTTGTTTTCACTTTTGAAGGATAAACTGCGCATAAGCGCACATTGGGTAATACAGATGTTATGTTATAACTTTCAAACCCAATAAACATAATTGAAATAGAATATTACATTACTGGTGGTCAGGGAGAAAATGCAGCCCCATCATTTGTGGTCAGTGGGAGGGGTGTACCCATGTCACTGATGGTCAGTGGGAGGAATGGAGACTTATCACTGGTGATAAGCAGGGGGACTGTAGCCAAATCATTAGTGGCCAGCTAGAGAATGTAGCCTTATTATTGGTGGTCAGTGGGAGAAAGGAAGCTCTATTATTGGTGTTCAGTAGCATTTAGCTTGCATGCTCAATGGCTCTGTAGTGATCTTTGTGGAGAGATCATTGTCAGGATTATATAGACACCATAAGGCATGATGTCACTCTGTAGTTGACGTATAAAGTGTCATATACAACTCTATACATGTTTATATGCTGGGGAGTAAGTATTAGGTTATGATTCTTTCATATATGTGCTTCCTGGTTATATATATATATATATATATAAACAATAAGGGGCACCACGAATATTTTTTGTAGAATATTTCTTTATTATTTTCCAATATATACACAGTATAAACCTACAGACATTATTATTAAGAGACCGCAAGTCCCAACTAGGTCTTATTTTCGGGGTAGGTCATATATTTTAGCAATTCCCAAAAATAGTACTAGGTCTTATTTTCAGGGTAGGTCTTATTTTCGGGGAAACAGGGTATATATTTCTATATATAATTTTTACATATATAATTTATCAAAACACATAGTTGAGATATATGTTGGAACTGTTTTCTTTACCTAAGAAACCATAAAAAATTGTTGGTCCAATGTTTTCCTCCAGCTCAGAGTTTGTTCCTAATGTGCATGCTTTGTATAGGCATTAAAATGCTTTTTTCCTATAGGCGGATCAGTCTCCAATATGTATGCTGTAAATATGGCAAGATACAAATGCTGTCCTGACATAAAGGAGCATGGACTTTCAAATACTCCACGACTTGTAATGCTTACATCAGAAGAGGTACAGTACTCATGCATTTTAATCAGACTGTGACTACCTTGACTTTTGTGCTGTGTACTAACTTAAAACAAATTATGAAAGCCCCTCATGTGGACACTTTCTCAGTAATTAAGTGTACTCCCTGAAACCTAGCCTAAATGTGCACTAAATGCATGGTAAACATCAATGACTGTCATTCTCAGTCTGAACTAACATTGTTTTAATTACAAAATAGCCTTTTAAGTTTATCTAAACCTGCTAGCCGCTGCAATTTCAAAGCTAATCTTTAGCCAGAAAATCATCTGTTCTGCTTCCCTCTAATACTGTTATCACTTGCAAGTTCTTGCATTCCTAAACTTCTGGGCTAAGTCCCATGCTTGAAGCCAATGGTTTTCACTGGTAATCCTGTTGTGCACTGAGACCTCTTACAGGTAGACAGGTAGATGGTATGTGTGCATAAAACTTGGTAATGGGGGCTGGGCTAAGCCAAGATACCATGGAAGTTGAGCCCTTGGTTACTCAAACTAATAGCTCCCTTTAGAGAGTTTCCATCACTTTTCCAGTTCAGGGCAAAGTGCCAGAGTCACATTAAAATGGCTGACACATTCACTCTGTTGTAATGCTGCCCATTTGAGTTTATGGCACTGTTTACAGAAGACATCAATGGTACCTACAGCTATAGGGATACCTTGTGAATAAATTCACCCTCTCTGGGGACCATATGCTCCAAGATTTACTGCCATAGATTTTTTTAGCATTTTCCATAATGCACAGTAACAGTGAGGATTGTTTTTAACCTGTGATCAGCTTAATATTGACTATCATCATCTATAATGAGAAATGATAAAATACATTAAACTGACCTGGAAGTACAAAATTCACATTCTTGTGAGTTTGGGGTTGGGGGTAAATTTTTAAAGTTTGATCATTTGAGCCTAATTGATGACAATAAGGGGAAGATGGCAAATAAACCATAGTGGATCAGAAGATACAGACTCAGCTTGGATCTCCTTGAACAAACAAATCATACTAGAGTGAATTTTCAAAAGTTTGCTTATCCCTATCCATGGCCACATGAAACTGAGCAATGAGGCCAATGCATTTCCTAAAGAATTAAAGTTTTCATTAAACCTACCCCTCATGTGTATTGAACTGCACACTAAAATCAATTATGCTCTGATATTTTCTTACCCTCCAAAAAAAAGGTTATTCTCTAAACAAAGTCTGATATTGTTAGCTCTTAAACAAGTTTACCTCTAAGTCTTTTTTCAGTTCCCCTTAGCCTTAAAATATAACTGCTGATCCTTTTCTGTATGCTTGATGTGCTTAGTTACTGCAAAAGAATGAAATTAACATCTAAGAATATAATGCTAAATGAATACTGATGAGCTAAAACATTGTGATACTTGAACCGAATGCACATGAGAATAAAGTTACTATAATTTTGGCCCAAAATGTATTTGAAAAATGATATTTGCTATTTTTGCTGTATTTTTATCATGAAAATATAGTCACAAATATATTTAACGATTCAGGTTTAGCTGGATGAGAGCCACATATCTTATTTGCCTTGACATGTTGCAATTTAAATATGCAAAGCAATAGTTATATAGGAATATTGAATATATAGTGAGTTTTGCTTTATTTGTACAATTTGTAACAATCAGAACCCAAGAATGAAAGAGCAGACTTTTTAGAAACTTTGGCACTATGTCCCGCCTTCCTACTAATGACCTTTCACTATGGCTGGCAGCCACACTGGCCAATAGGAATGGGCAGAAAGCAGGAAAGGGTGCGCAAGCTTTGGTACATAAAGTGCTGAACAGCTTGATATTTGGCTGTCATTGGAAGGTTTGGGAGGTTTGTTGCAGGCTTGTGGGGGCATATTTAGGTGCCTGCACTTCATGCCTGCAGTAGTTTGCTCCTCAGTCCCCAGTGACAGAGTCTCTTTAAATAAGTTGGTGCACAGGAACTTACCATGGCATTCTATACACAGAAGAGGAGAGACCTTTTTAAGAAATATTTAAAATATATGTGAAACAATAATTGTTTATGTCAGTTAAGTTTTTATACATGCTGTAGTATGTAGTATTATTGTAGGTTTTAAAGTATTCAGTGTAAGGACTCTTGAACAAACATAAGATGAGAACAAAATTAAACCTCAAAGAGAAGGAGACAAACAACAGGCAATGGAAGAAAGAGATTTATTATTTAAGTGATAATCCTAAAATTGCCAGCAAATGCACCACAGATGCATTAAATATTTCATGCAGTTAACAGCCTGAGCTGTGGAATTCAAAGACACTGACTTTCCAAGTCCTCAAAATGGTTTGTAAAATCATTTGGGAGAAAATTAACAAAGAAAAACATTGGCAAACAATCCCATTGTAATTAACATATTTTTTTCTGTTTGATAAATCTGAAGAGACCAGTTTAATAAAAACCATATTGGTTTATCTTATAAACACAAGGATCTATGCACTTTTGGGAAACACAATTCAGAGATCATTGGGAATTAGTCTCATTTAAGTGTATGTAATTGAGAGGCTGCCTATGAAAGATTATAAATATTAAAAGCTATCATTATACCTCCTTTTTACGTTCTCGCTTTTATGATAAAATAAATGTATTCAGTATTCAATACGCAATGTCAGTGGAATTCCTGAATGAGAATCTCAGTAGTCAGTTTATAGCATTTTGAAGATTGCATGTTTATATAAAAATATAATTTGATATACGACAGTTTAAGAAAAATATGAAACAGGAAAATGTACTCTTCATTTAATAAGTTATAAGGGGATTTGCTACAAAAAAAGGAAATAGTTAATGCTTATACCCCTGAGAAGAAGTAGAGCTGAGTCAGATCAGAGGTTACCTGTTAGATTAACAAGACAATTTTTGTAACTTAAAAATAAAAACTAGATACAGTAAAAAACTGATTATTTTACAAGGACATAAACTTTTAAGGTTGTGCCAAAAAAAGGCAAGCAGAGAGCAAAGGACTAGTAATCAGTTCTGCCTGGAGGCTCCCCTTCAGCTTATATTTTACCCATCACTGACTTACCATGCCTTGTTTTGGAAGCCCAACTGAACCTTCAACTTAAATCAGCTAAATACATTGCAGGTGTCTCACATCAATTGATGTTTAACTGCTTACAGTGTATAATCTTTCTAACACTTCTACAGCCTGAGTAGAAAAGTCTGTTCCATACCAGAGTGAGACCCTTGGTCTAGCTGTGGAAGCAGTGATCTCTTTGCAGAAGTCCATCACAAAACCCTGCTGAGTCAGACCTAAAGCTCCCTGCTCATTGGAGAGTTATGGCTCGCACTCGGTAGGGGGCCTGTTGGATTGCTCTGCAGCTTCTGGCAAAGAAAAGGCTTTTGTTTTTACTGTGGCTAATTTGTAAAGAAAAAAAACTGAAAGCCTTTGCATAACATTTCTTTTGATGCACCTGCAATGTGAGTGACATAAGGGCTGCCCCCATGATGACTGCTAATCTGATAACTGTGATCTGATAACTGGGGAGGGGGGGGGCCTTCAGGAAGCAGCAGTAGAGGCTCACAAGGCACAGACCCACAGAATGAATGAAGCAGAAGCAGGGAGATGCATGCAGTACATATTTCTCTCCAGCAATAAGGACAGTGAGCAGAACAGTAGTGACACAGACAATTCTCATTCATAATTCCATGAGACTAGTAGTCACAGACAGCAGTGCCTCTTACGCAGTAGATATTGAGCTATAGGACTGTAGGCACAGGAGTGCCTGGGCACCCTCACATACCATTTTTCAGAAGGCAAAAAGTATATTTCTTTCAGGGTACTACTGAGCAGGGTAATATAGCAAATCTTTAATTTGTGAGTCCAGGTCCACTTACACTTTACCCATAATGAAATGTTAAAGAGGACTTCCAGGCGACAAGTGAAACCAATTAATAAACTACCAATGCTATCCAGGAAAAACTGTTATTGTTCTAAAGTCAGAACATTCTCTAATTTTATCTTCATCTGCATCCAGATCCACTGCTATATCATACAGCTGCTCATAAGGGTCTGCTTCAAGACTGTGCTGTATAAATTCTTCCCTGATGTATCACCTTTCAGATTTAAACTTCCAATGCTGGTTTGAATCTGCTTTATCTTTGTAATTACCATCTTAGTTCTGACATATCAGGCTTTTTGTATTTGAGAAACAACCTGCACGTGGTGTATTTCAATCAGGCATGCAAAGGTTTCCTTAGGTCAGCAGATTTTTGAAAAGAGAGAGTGTGGTGGGTGCAATAGCTGGATGAAAAATTTGAACCCTGAGCAGGTAAAATAAGTGCTCTGTATGCATTTCAAGTAGGGATGTTAAGATACCAAGTATCGTACTGGGCACAAGTACAAGTACATGTACAGATACTTTTCCAGCTCCAAGACTAGACTAGAGAAAAATTCAAAAGTTAGGAGGCAGCTGTCATTTTTAAGGAGCATACGGAGCTCCTGGGATTTGTGCATCTGTTTTAATGTATCATTTTTTAAAATAAATATATATTAGGGATGCTCAATACCATTTTTTCAAGTACAAGTACTGATACTTGTCCAAGTACTCACAGATACAAGTACTGATACATTTTTGTTTATTGTCATGTGACAGTTTTTCTAAAACAATACAGACTAATGATTTGAGGACAGTAGTGGAGCGCCAGAGCCAGGTCCCAGCTGCAACCTCTGCAACCCTGGTAGTTCTCGTCAAAATGCCAAGTATCAGCACTGGTATCTGAACATCATTAAAGGAGAACTATGGGGTTAGGGCTTTTCCCCATAGTTCTCCTTAGGGTACCTGGAGGACACAAACTAGCATCCTCCCGTCACCCTAGGCTCAGTATACCGCAAGCTTAGGCTCGCGGTATACTGAGACGCCGCAGTATACCGTGAGCTGCTGCTCGCGGTATACTGAGACTCCGCAGCTGAAGCGGATCCTGACAATTGTGCTGGGATCCACCCAGCTGCGTGACTGACAGCTGTACCCTCCCCCTCCCCC